GTCACCTGCAAGTACAACTATGTCGAAGCTTCGACTCAGCCGAATGAGATCGGTGTGGTCGGCGTAGAAGGCGTTCTTTTGGGTATCAGAACTGCAATTGATCGGTGCACATGCTGATGCTGATGCTGATGCACCTTTTGGTGCTGCTTCCCTTCCGGACGCTGATTGGACCCTGTAGACGCACTGCATATAAACGACTGTTATATGTGTATATATATTTACCACCGGCTTGAAGACAAGCATGGTGCCAACGCAACAACAATAATAACAATAACAATAAAACGGGATAGGTGGATTGGGGTATCGAACATAGTGAAAAGGGGGTGAAACAGTTAAACATGGGAAAATACAAGATAACAATTTTTTGAGTTTCACCGTACACCTTTTGCAATTTTTTTTTACGGGGCACGGGACTTCGACAGGCAAACCGTACAGCATTCGCGACCGACTTCTATTCTGGGCCATATCTCTCAGCGTCTCTAACCAGCGACAATCCTCATCCCTTGAGCCCCAACCTGGAAGGCGGGCTGCATCAACCAAAGCCAAAGCCGAAGCGAGCTTCTTCATGCCTCTAACCCATGTCATGGTCTAACCGCCGCACCGCCTCTTCCAGCCTTGCCCGGCACGTGCGAAGAGAGCACGGAAAGGTAGTCGATGGGCAGGCATACGCAATACGTGACCACGTCATCGGAGGCGGTGTAGAGCGATTACTTTCGTTAGAGAACGACTATCCGCACCCAATACATGACGACGAACCTCGTCATTGCGCAGAGGCCAGGTCTCGCGACCGTATAGCAAAATTCTACGGACCGCGGCGATGTACACCCTTCCCTTAAGGGATAATCGGATATCGTGGCGGCGCCACAGGTGTCGCAGGTTGGCGAAAGCTGCTCTAGCTTTCGCTATTCGTGATGCGATCTCCTTCCCAATACCACCACCAGCTGCGATCAAGCTCCCGAGGTACTTAAAGTTCTCAACTACTTCCAGCTCGCCACAGGGGGTGAGTGCAGGCACAGGCTCCTGCCAGTCATGAACAAGCACTTTGCACTTTGATGGTGCAAAGCACATTCCATACCTGGATACCTCTATCGCCAAGCGGTTTAAAGCGTCTTGGACTTTCTGTGTGTTTTCACCCAGCAAGGCGATATCACCGGCATATTCTAAGTCAAGGACTCTGTTCCCTGGGAAGAGTTCGACTCCACCGTTTGTTAGACCGGACAAAACATTCTACAGAACATCCTCTATGACAAAGTTTAAAAGGAATGGAGATATAGGGCAACCATGTCAAACTCCACTGGAGACGGCG